TAGAACCACCGTCCCTGCACCACTAAGCTGTGGCGCATATAGTGGATATCGTTGGAAGAAGCGGTAAAACTGTCGGTTTGAGCATTTTTATTTATACAAAACCTTTAATGCTTGTTCACTTCGTTGGACCTTTCATGAACTCGTCCTTGGGGGTAGTATGATGGTATCGTCAGAGAAGTCGGTGTCAGTCAGGAAGATTCAACATGACAATGTCGCATACAACCCAACTGAGCGCGCAGTTCTCATGGGTGATTGAATGCAGTCTTGCTTTTAACCCGTATATCCTGCCCGTAATTATATTTTTACCCCCTCCTAACCGTGTGACTCTATTATCCGACATAAGGACTCACGATGAACTGAACCTACTCGATCTTATCTAATCTACTACAAGAGTCACGCGGCGCACGCGAGTACTAATTTCACAAATGAATCGGGGGAGCTTTTGAATGGACTAACCTTTGAGGCGCACAACTGGAGGCCTCTAAGGCTGCTCAGTAGATGTCGCAGTCATAGCCCGCCATCTATGTGGTCTTTTGTCACAATTTCCGGAAGGAATCACAGTTGTGTGATCCAGGCCGACCTGTTAGGATAGCCAACTGTAAGAGCACCTGTCCTGATTCAGGCATTGACTCTACGAAGTAACTTAGCTTATTCGTGGAGTGCTACTCTCACCATCAAATAATACTGCAACACAAGATCGTATAACCGACTCCGGGCCACGATCTTTTTTGGCTGTAAAAGAGGCTTCCGGGTGGCTGTTGTACGTTCGGGCGCTTACAGGCGGGAGTAATTAACTGCCGATTTAGCCCCCCCCCACATTTTAGACTAAAAACCTTGGGTGGGCAAAATCTATTCAACGTGACTAACCGCATATCCCCACTCAGAATGCCTGGTCAGCAGGTGCCTTGCGGTAAAGTGAAAAGCTCATTGGTGTGTACAGTTCTTTGTGGTCAGCAAAACCCGAGACTCAGTCCCTGTTATTCATTACCTGGAAACTCAAACTCCTTTCGGGCAGAGGATAAGGTAACAGTTCAGCTGGTCGTCCCCCTTAGATACGCCCATTATCTAGTCCTGTGGTTACTTAGCAACAGTAGTTTAATTAGTGCACATCATATACCCCTAGTCCCAGCATGTTGTCTTACAGAAACGGTGATTATAGGGGTTTTGTAGATGGAAATTAGGATAGGCAGTGGAATATACTTTAATAACTGCTATAGGCATTTTTACTTCATTGGATTTAGACATGCTGTTGATTTATATCTGTAGGTTTTCTATTCTGTGTTATCGTCTACCGTATTGTGGAAAACCCGATTATCAAAATGTAGGTTTCCCAAAATTCCTAAATAATAATAGAAATGGTGGTTAAGAGGTTGTCTTCTTCAACTTACCTGAGGTCTAACTTACCGTTCCGGAATTAGATTAATATAGTCCATGGCGCGAAGCACCACGCATACCTTCAATTTAAACGCGGAGTAACTAATTCTCAGCGGCCACGGACACAAATTCAACTCCCTTTTTCCACTTTACACTTACTTCTATAAATTTCCTTGTCTGCCTATCCTATTTTTCCACCCCCAAAAACAATATAATTACCGTTTCTGTAAGACAAAATGCTGGGACTAGGGGTATATGAAGTGCATTACTTAAACTGCCTTTGCTCTTTTCTCTTTTTTAGCTTGATTAAGTTTATTTTTGTTTTTAGTTGAATACTTAGTTCACGTTTAGTTTAGGTAGAGACTGCCAACTTTAGATAAATAGGTTTAGATAAGTGTTATATACTAAACTAAATTAACTATACTAAGATAAATTATTTCGTATAAACTGAAGGGCAGACATCCCAAGAAATGTAATTTCAAGGAAAGGCGTCCTTTTTTCCCAAAGGACCCCTTTCCTTGAAATAAGATAAATTAATTGAACTAAATCCAAAACTACACTAAAATTAAACTAATTTACTCAATAATAAACGAATACCACCGGTTCGGTAAGACAGAATTCTG